GTTTGCTAACATTTTGTTGAGGATTTTTGCGTCAGTGTTCATCAGAGATATATGTGATTTCTCCTTTCTCATTTGTGATTTTATTTATTTGGGTCCTTTCTCCATTTTTCTTGGTAAATCTGGCTAGCGGTTTATCAATTTTATTGATTTTTTTCAAAGAACCAGCTCCCGGTTTCATTGATTTGTTCTAGTTTTTGTTTCTATATCATTTATTTCTGCTTTAATCTTTGTTATTTCCTTCCTTCTGCTGGTTTTAGGGTTTGTTTCTTTTTCTAGCTCCTTCAGGTGGAAGGGTTAGGCTATTTGAGACTTTTCTTGCTTCTTAAGATACTCCCGTATGCTTCCCTCTTAGAACCACTTTTGCTGCATACCAGAGATTTTGAACCATTGTGTTTTCATTTTCATTTGCTTCCATGTACATTTGTATTTCTTCTTTAATTTCCTGGCTGATCTATTCATTGTTTACTAGTATGTTCTTTAATCTCCATGTATTTGTGGTCTTTCCAGAGTTTTTCTTGTGGTTGACTCTAAGTTTCCCAGCATGGTGGCCAGAAAAGATGCATGGTTTGACTTCGATCTTCTTGAACTTGTTGAGACGTGTTCTGTGGCCAAATATGTGCCCTATTCTGGAGAATGTTCCGTGTACCCTTGAAAAGAATGTGTATTCTTCTGTTTTAGGATGGAATATTATGAATTTATCTGTTAAATCCATCTGGCCCAGTGGGTTGTTCAAAGCCATTGTTTCCTTGTTGATTTTCTGGTTAGGTGATGTGTCCACTGATGTAAATGGGGTGTTAAAGTCTCCTACTGTTATTATCAATTAGTTCCTTTATGTTTGTTATTAACTGTTTTGTGTATTTGGGTGCTCCTATGTCGGTTGCATAAATATTTATAGTTGTTATATCTTTTTTTTTTTTAAAGATTTTATTTATTTGACAGAGAGAAGGATAGCAAGAGCAGGAACACAAGCAGGGAAAGTAGGGGAGGGAGAAGCAGGCTTCCCGCTGAGCAGGGAGCCCTACGTGGGGCTCGATCCAAGGACCCTGGGATCATGACCTGAGCCGAAGGCAGACACTTAACAACTGAGCCACCCAGGAGCCCCTGTTAGATCTTCTTGTTGGATTGGTCCCCATATTATTATGCAGTCTCCTTCTTTGTCTCTTTTAACAGCCTTTGTTTTAAAGTCTATTTTGTCTGATATAAGTATTGGTACTCTGGCTTTCTTTTGACATCCATTTGCATGGTAAATGATTCTTCATCCTCTCTTTCAATCTGCAAGTGTCTTGAGGTCTAAAAGGAGTCTCTTGTAGGCAGCATATAGATGTCTATTGTTTTTTTTATTCATTCTGTCACCCCATGTCTTTGGATTGGAGCATTTAGTCCATTTTCACCCAAGGTAATTCTTAATAGGTTTGTATTTATTGCCATTTTATCACTTGTTTTGGGGTTGTTTCTGAAGATTTTCTCTGATCCTTTCTTATCTTTAATTCTTTGCTGCTTTTCTTTTCTTTGGTGATACATTTGAATTTCTTTCTCTTTATTCTTTGCATATTTATTAGTGGTTTTTGATTTGTGGTTACCATTAGATTTGTATAAAACCTCTTCTGCATATAGCAGTCTATATTAAATTAATGGTCATTTAAGTTTGAACCCATTCTTTACTCTTCTCCTTCCCACGTTTTAGGTATATGGTGTCCTACTTCACATACTTTTATTTTGTAAGTTCCTTGACTGATTTTTTACAGAAATACTCATTTTTAATGCTTTTGTGTTTCCTGCCTTCATACTATCATTTTTGGTCTTTCATTTCCACTCAAAGAATCCTTTTTAATATTTTTTGCAGGGCTAATTTAGTGATCATGAACTCCTTTATTTTTTGTTGGTCTGTGAAGCTCTTTATTCTCCTTCTATTCTGAATGATAATCTTGCTGGATAGAGCATTCTTGGCTGTAGGTTTTTTCTACTCAGCACTTTGACTATATCATGTCACTCCTTTCTGGCTTGGAAAGTTTCTGCTGAAAAATCTGCAGGTTTCCTTTGTATGTAACCCTCTTCTTTTGTCTTGCTGCTTTTAATATTTTTTTCTTTATTGGTGTATTTTGCCATTTTAATTATAACACGTCTTGGTGTGGATCTGCTTTTGTTGATTTTGTTGGGGGTTTTCTGTTCCTCCTGGATCTGTGTATCTGTGTCCTTCCCCCAAGAGTAGGGAAGTTTTCAGCTATTATTTCTTCAAATAAATTCTCTGCCCTCTTTCCTATTTTTCTGGGACTCCTGTAATATGAATGTTATTATGTTTGATAGAGTCACTGAGTTCCCTAAGTCTGTTCTCATTTTGCATAATTATTTTTCCTGTCTTTTGTTCAGTTCAATTATTTTCCATTACTCTGTCTTCTAGGTCATTAATTCATTCCTCTGCTTCTTCCAGCCTGCTATTCATTCCATCAAGCTTATTCTCATTTTGTTTATTGAGCCCTTGATCTCTGCTATGTTAGTCCTCATCTCTGTGTTAATGATCTTACTGATATTGTCCACTCTTTTCTCATGTCCACTGAGTATCTTTATGCTCATTGCTTTAAATTCTCTGGCTATGGACTTGTCCTCTTCTTTCATTTGGGACAAATTGTTCTGTCTTCTCATTTTATCTATCTCTGGGTGTTAGGAATGTCAGCTGTGTCTCCTATTCTTGAGGGTAATGGCTTTATGAAGAAGAGGTCCTGTAGTGCTGTGCATTATAGTGTCCTCTGTTCCCTAGGGCCTGGTGCTTCCAAGAGTGTCTCCAATGTGTGCTGTGTGCACTCTGCGGTTGGGTCCTGGCCACTTTATCCTACAGGCCGGTAGTCTGCAGAGGCTGTCTGCTGGTTGTGGGCAGTTTTTGGTCCTTCGCATGAGTGTGGCATGTTTTAACTAGGTGTGCTCTAATTTGCTTGTTAAATGACACCTGTTGGGGCGCCTGGGTGGCTCAGTCGTTAAGCATCTGCCTTCGGCTCGGGTCGTGATCCCAGGGTCCTGGGTTTGAGCTCCGCATCAGGCTCCCTGCTCAGCGGGAGGCTTGCTTCTCCCTCTCCCACTTCCCCTGCTTGTGTTTCCTCTCTCGCTGTGTCTCTCTCTGTCAAATAAATAAATAAGATCTTTAAAAAAATTTTTTTAAAAAATGACAGCTGTCACCACCACCACCAGAACCAAGGCCCTGCAAAACTCCCGGATCGGGAGATGTGGTATGGTTAGGGGTTTGCATCTGTCTTCTGGGGGCAAGGGACCTACTCTGCTGGGTCCGAAGCAAGTGTTACTAGGAAGGCTGGTTCCACCAATGTGTGGGGCGTGTGGGGGGGAGGGAGCTGGGCTTGCTGTAAGCAAGTTAGGTAGCAAGTGTTGATGCTACACTGTTCCCACAGGTGGCACTGTGCTTATGCTGAGCGTCATGGGAGGGAAATGGTATCAGCCAGCTCTTTTATTTCCATAGGCATCTCTTTATGAACACTGACTCTCTGGGATGTGCTCTGAGATGAGCAGCTAACTTCCCCACTGTGTACCCCAGCTATTTCCATGCTGTATGTCCATGTCCTTTTTGCCATGCCTTCCCTCCAAGATCAGCCTCAGTGCCCTTGAGACTCTTCCATCCACTCCCATTGACCTTTCAAGCTCCAGGCTTTAAGCTCCACTGGTTACAAGAACTCATGAAATTTGGCCCCTTTCTCTTTCCAAGGCAATTGCTATGGGGATTCTTTTTCCCCATGTGGTCCCCTGTGTGCTAGTCTGTCTCTAACCCTTCTCTGCAGTCACCCCTCCCTCCCTAGCACAGTGACCATCATCTGTTTCTCTCCCAACCTGCATCTCCACGCCTCCTACCTTCTTTTTTTGTGGCCTCTTCTCTACCTTTAGTTGTGGAGTTTGTTCTGCCAGTCTTCAAGTGAATTTTGGGGGTATTTATGATGATCTGATAGTTATCTACTTCTATTTGTGGGATGAGGCAAGCCTAGGGTCCTCCTACTCCACTGCTATCTTCTTGCTCCCCCTCAAATGAAAGTCTGCTTCATTATTGTAAACACATTTTCTGTTTGTGTTCTTTGCCAGTTACTTTTGTCGATCTATGGTAAACTTCCACACATACAGTATATAAAGTCACTATCGTAATTGTTTTAAGTATTTATCCCTAGTCATTTGCTTAATTTTGTTTACAGTGAGGTTTCTTTCTTTTTCTCCTATTTTCCCTGTTTTTCAGATGTATCAAAGTCTATATATTTGTAGTTAAAGATGTTGATCTTTCCCTTTATAAATTTTCTTTATTTTGGTGTTTGTGCTTAAAAGTCATTTCCCTCCCAGGAATCACAAAAATATCCACCTATAAATTCTTTGTAAGTTATTAATCTCTCTTAAATTTGTTTTGGCATGAGTGTGAGGTAGGGATCCATTATTTTAATAGGCATGATTACTATTAAATTATTAAAGCTAATCATAAAAGGCTTTTTCAGAGTCAGTAGATATACATAAAAATACCAAAACAATTCAAATGGAAATATATTTGGGAGATTTTTTTAAAAAGGTCTGTGTGTCTTTTATTGAGAAGATTCTACTGTGGCAGAGTTTTAGTTAATTCTAAATAGCTAACATGCCATATTTAAATTTGCACATTAAACTTTTTTTGTTATTCATTGAGTTGGCTACTGGAAGTGATAATATTTGAATTCACCTTAATTTCTATTTCTCTGGATCACAGTCCATTTTTGGAGCAACATGCCCTCCTAAACAGCGTCTCTTTTCAGGAATCATGACTTTGTGGATCTTTCCAGTCTTCTGATGTCCCTGTTTTAGCTTCCATGTCTTTAGTTTAGTGAGTCATTCATCTAGTCCCAAAACCCTGGTTTTCCAGTAGTCCTACCTATTTTGAAACATAGTATATGTAGATGACCTCCGGTAAGACATCATGAGATCTCTGATGACTTGGCAAAATCAGATGTATTCAGAAGAAGAGCACTAACCCTCGGTATTTCCTGTTTTAGGAAAAGATGAAAGGCAAGAACAAGCTGGTGCCTCGCCTGCTGGGCATCACCAAGGACTCAGTGATGCGTGTGGATGAGAAGACCAAGGAAGTGCTGCAGGAGTGGCCACTTACCACGGTTAAGCGCTGGGCAGCCTCACCCAAAAGCTTCACCCTGGTACGGACTGGCAATGGGGAGGACCAACACGGCCTTGGGCAATACTGTGCGGTGGGAGAGAGAATACAAGCCCGATGGGTTTCCCTGGCCTTAGAGAGCAGTGTGCAGAGGGACAGATAGTGGGAGTCCACAGAGGGTGGGGACTGGTCCAGTCTTCTATGTTCCTGATGCTGTCCCTAGCATGCCCTAGAAGGAAACTTGCTAATGCTCAGAGGCTGATCAAATCCTCCCTCTTCATCTCTGCTTGTTTTAGAAGTTCCTAAGGATTGTGACATCTTGCTGAAGTGTGTTATCCCAGCCTGCCTAGAAACAGCATACTATACAGAGGAAATGGCATAGACTTTAGGGTAGTATTCTCCGCTGGTCATCTCCCATTTCTGAGAGAGTTCTCTCTCCTCTCTGAGCCTTAATGTCATTAGCTTTAACATGGGAATCATAATACCTATTTCACAGAGGTGTTAAGATCAAACAAGGTGATGATGATAAAATTCTCAGTGTGAAGTACATGGAAAGTAGGGAGAATGTAGTCATCCCAGGCCTTCAGACCTCTGAATTCTTCCTCCCAACCTTAATAGTTGCTCTTAGCAGATTATAATTGTGTTATTATCTTAATTATAGCTGCATTGACACACAAGAATTGATAGCATTGTTATTTTGTAGGGCAAGTTGAGCAACAAGAGAAATCAATGCTGAAAGTTATCCATCTCCTAGCACTCCTGAAGTGTACTATTCTCCAGGTCTAGTGAATACTTGAAATTTCAGCTTGTATCTAGGTAAGGTCTCATAATAGGGCATCAGAAAAAAAGGTATAAGGAAGGGGTTTTGGAGGGAGTATTTAGTTATCTAGTTTGATCATTGGTGGATAGACTCTTGCCAGTGGGAAGGAATCATCAGGAAATATACCTTCTTCCCTCCTGTAGTCAGTAAGAGCTCTACCTGCATGGCCCTTAAGAAGGGGTGTTCATACTTAGAGAACTGTGTTCTCCTCTTCCATGGTAGGAAGTTGTAGATAACTTGTAAAAGAGAAAAATCAAATCAATATAAACATGTTATTTAGAAATACTAGAAGAAACTGTGAAAGGGTTCAAAGTAGTTGCCTTTGGGGATAGGAGGGATAGAAAGTAAAGATAGTAATGGCTTGGGCAGGGGCCTGCTGTGTTTTTTTATGTACCTTTTAGTGCTATTGGTCTTTGAAAACTAGGTCCAAGTCCCATTTTGTTGAAAACAAAGTTATTTTAAAGATAAACAAGAAATAGTTATGAGTCGCAGTAACTACATCAAGCACAAGAGAGAATGAATATCAATGTTTATTTAAGTTGGATTAAAGTTTGTAACACGTCTTATTTCTTTCCACTCTGAGCCTGAATTTAATTTCCAAGTGTTTGGAGATTCTCCTGTTGTCTTCCTATTATTCATTTTTAGTTCAGTTCTGTTACGGTTAAAGGACATACTCTGCATAATTTCAAGTCTTAGAATTTTAAGATTTGTTTATATTACAGGATATGGTCATTCTAGGAGAATGTTTGATGAGTACTTAACAAGGGTGTTAGGTAAATGTCGGATCCTGTTAGTTGATGTTGTTCCAGTCATCTCTATCTCAACAACAGTTGTGGATTTTTCTGTTTTTCCTTTCAGTTTTTACTGCATGTATTCTGAAGCTGTGTTTGGGGCTTACATGTACATTTAAGATCCCTCTGTCATCTTCATGGAGAAATTGTTTTACCATTTAGTTGTTTTGTTCCTCGTAAATTTGTTTGCTCTGAAATCTGCTTAATCTTAATAAAACCACTCATGATTTTTCAAATTAATGTTTGCATGATATATTTTTCCATCCTTTTACTTTCAACCTACCTATATTATATTTGAGACAAGTTTCTTACAGAGTACATAAAGTCGGGTTATGCTTTCTTAAAAATCTACTTGGTCAGTCTCTTTTAATTGGCCTATTTAGACCATTTATATTTCAATCTTGATATGTTAGGGCTTAAGTCTGCCATTTTATAATATTTTTCTGTTTATACCCTCCATTTCTTTTTCCTCTGTTTTTCTTGCCTTCTTTTGGGTTACCTTTTAGAGTTCCATTTTGATTTATTTATAATGTTTTCGAGCATATCTCTTTGCTCAGTATTCTTAGTGATCTAGATATTACCAGATATGTAAGAAATTAATTATAACCCACAGGTGTGGATGTTTACCACTTCAAGAGAAGCTTAGAAGCTTCTATTTAGGACTCTTTACACTCCCCACTTTTTGAAAATAATTGTTCGAAGAACAATTTGTTGAGACTTTTTTAAATTGTATCTAGACATTATGGTTATTTAGTTAAGAGACTCTTGCTCTTACTTATACATTGAACACCATGTGAGATGGTGTTACAACTTCTGCTGCAACCATAGAATATGATTAAGTAAAACTCATGAGGTGCAAGATAAGTTACTACATTTCCTTCTATTTTTTCATCTATCCCACTGTTGTTTTATTTTTAACCTTCCCAGCCTCCTGGGAAAATTTTGGTTATTACATTTTTCCTTATTATAGTTGTTATATGATTCCTTCTTCTGACTTATTTCTCTGTTGAAACCTATTTGTTTCAGGAGAATTTGTAATCTATGAAACATATTTTATGATGGCTGCTTTAAAATCTTTATCAGATAATTCCAATATCTGATTCATTTCAGTATTGGCATCAGTTGATTATCTTTCCTTATTCATATCATAGTTGTTTGGCTCTCGATATGAGTAGTGACTTTTTAAAATTGTATCTAGACATTGTGATTATTTAGTTAGGAGACTCTTGCTCTTACTTAAATCTTCTGTTTTATCAGACAGTCAACTTGTTTAGATTTAGTGTAGCTTTCTGGTCTCCTTTTGTGGGCTTTTCAGTGCTATTCTGGATTGCTTTGACACTGCCAGAGTTCTCACTCAAGACTTGATGGTGCTGTTTGTGAAGGCATTCACTTGGACCACCTGCTATTGACCTTTTGGGGATAGGCAGAAGCTACCAGGCCTGTCTTTGTTCATGCCATTGGGTGGAGGTCAGGAAGACATAGGCTTCACGTGACCACTGTTGCACAAGAACAAGACCACTGGCCTGTCTGGGTTGTGGAGCCGGGGCTGGGGTGGCCTGGGCTTTCACTGCTCTGCAGCTACTGGTGAGCACCGGCCCAGGTTGTGGAGGTGGTTTGAGGCTCCGAGATAGATCTCCATTGGGCTTCTCCTCTCCTGGTCCTCTGGCAAAAAAGGACAGGCTTTTGAAATCCTGCCTTTTTGAGATTCTGGGTTTCAGGCACCCACCTGGGAGTAATCAGATATAAAGGAAAACCCAAGAATTCACCAGAGTGTGTTTTCTCAAGTACTGTGCTCCATAGTCAATCTACCTTTCCAGCTTTCAGGGCCCTTTTACTAAATTTTAGGGTATTCGATTGTGTTTAAAGGGAAAGAGAAGGGAAAAGGGAGTCTATGCCATTTTGTTCCGGGACTAGGCCTCTTTACCTTTAAAACTGTAGATACGTGATGTAGTTATATTTCTTCTAATGCTGTTTTTTCAGGATTTTGGGGAGTATCAGGAAAGCTACTATTCAGTACAAACCACTGAAGGAGAGCAGATATCCCAGCTGATTGCAGGCTACATTGACATCATCCTCAAAAAGGTATTTCATACTGATGCAAATTGGAAAAGCTGCCTTTTTTAAGACACTGACTTAGATGATGCTGCAACCTGGGGGAAAAAAAAAAAACAACAACAACACAAAACCACCATAATTTGAAGTACTTGATTCACTAATTTAATCTTAACATTAAGATTGCTTGAGTGTGCAGTCTTTAACCTCAAAATCCTACAAGAATTTCCATTTTAGCTGCAGTTCCTATTTATATTATTACTGCCAGGTAATGAGCTGTAGTGCTTCACTTAACTAATGAATGAGACTAGCTAACCACTCAGCATCTTCCTCTCTAGGTAGTTCTGTTAGCTTTCCAGCCTCTTTAGAAACCTAGGTTGAGGGTCTGAAAATGCTCTTCATATTTTTCATGAATTTTTTTTAAATAGGCTCCATGCCCAGCATGGAGCCCACGCTGGGGCCTGAACTCATGACCCCAAGACCAAGACCTGAGCTTAGATCAAGAGTCACATGGTCAGCTGACTGAGCCACCCAGGTGTTCCTCGTGAATTTTTACCAAATTACCAAATTTCATGAAGTTTTAGCAAATTCTTACCAAATTTAGTGGGGTTATATACCATAGTGGTATACAGACTGCCAAAGACTTCAAGATACAGCCCACTGAAATAACCAAGTTCAACTAGAACATCAGTATCTGTGTCTTGATTTTAACTGTATGAAATTTAGTCGATGCAGTAATAAACACAGAAGGCATATTTCTATATTGTGTTAAACCATGTATTTATTTTATATTGTTACTTTTGTTTTTGTTCACCCATCACCTACTCCAATACAAAGAATTTTGAGTAAACCTCAACATTTTTGCTTGTGTAGCTCCTTTTAAAAGGTATCTTAAGTTTCTTGCATCAAGACCTGCTGAGTTTCCTTTTTGTTTCATTTTACCTCAGAAACAAAGTAAAGATAGATTTGGATTAGAGGGGGATGAGGAGTCGACTATGCTGGAAGAGTCCGTTTCCCCAAAAAAGTAAGTATTTTTAAGAGCCCCAGAGAGCCCGCCTTCTCACTAAATGGACAGGTTTCCTTGTGCCTACTCTGGAGTCTGTTGACCTGAAGTCCGTCAGAAGGGGAGACAGCAGTGCATTATATAAATGAGTCTTGCTTCTCAAAAGGTGGTTTCCAGACCATCATTTTCAGGGTTGAGTATATTCTTGTGGGGGTAAGAGGCTGTGGATTTCAGGGAGACACAGAACAAAATGTAACTCCATCTTTAGACACAGTGAGTATTCGTGAATCCTGTTCTGCAGTTGCTCATTTAAATCTCCTAATGTGTGTCATTTTCATCAAATGCTGGAGAGTGAGTTTCTGTTTAATTCTGTGACAGTGGAGGAGTTATTGTTTATAGAACATGTGTCATGAGGCAGTAGAGGGAAGTGTTTAAAATATGGACTCCAGAGCCAGACTTGCTGGGTTCAAATCTCGAGTCTCTCTCTCTTTTTTTTTAAGAGAGTGGGGGCTGGGGGGAGTTGCAGAAGAAGAGGGAGAGAATCTCAAGTAAGCTCCACACCCAGCGCAGAGCCTGACAGCGGGGCTCATTCTCACAACCCTGAGATCATGACCTGAGCTGAAATCAAGAGTCAAATGCTTAACTGACTGAGCCACCCAGGCGCCCCTTGAGTCTCTTTTTTAATGTGTAGCCTTGGAGATATTACACATTTCCTCTGCCCCTTCATCTCAACTATAAAATGAGAATAATGATAGTACCACCTTATACGATTTATTTTGATGACTGAATTATTAATAAAGCACATAAAACAATGCCTGGCACATCATAAATATTTACTATTCTTAACATCTTCATCATCATTTTTGATTCAGAACAGTCTCAACCCCATTTTATAGGTAAGGAAACTGAGATTTTGAAAAAAAATTTTATTTATTTATTTTTTTAAGATTTATTTATTTGACAGAGAGAGAGACAGCGAGAGAAGGAACACAAGCAGGGGGAGTGGGAGAGGGGGAAGCAGGCTTCCCGCCAAGCAGGGAGCCCGATGCGGGGCTCGATCCCAATCATGACCTGGCCGAAGGCAGACGCTTAACAACTGAGCCACCCAGGTGCCCCGAGATTTTAAAATTTTTAAATTAACATCTAATAAATGGTACTTTGGGAAAATCCCAGCAGCTGCTTCCCTTATGTTATGTAGAACATTGTGATAATTAGTTTCTTGCCTACATTTGACTCTGTATGTCTAGCATGCTGTCTCATTTCACCCCAATAACAACCCCCGATGTAAGAGGTAGACCAGATGTTACTGCCTGTTTGTGACTGAGGAAACCAAAGCTCTGAAAGTTACTTCAGATGCACACATGAGGCAGAGCCAGGAGTCAGTTCATATCTTGTGATGTTTCTTACAGTACACTGCCAGAAAGTTCTAGCAGATTCAAGCATATTGAACTTGCTAAGTCATAGTAATTGCTTCTGGAACATTTCCATACTCCATCACTTTGTCCTGATTTGCTTCATAATCACCTTGAAGGTGCTTTTCCATTTGTCCCCTATTTTAGTACACAATTTGGAACCAAACCTGATGGTATGATGCGTTTCACGTACGTGGTACCCTCTTGAAGAGCACCTTAAGTCGTTGGAATTATTAATGACCATTAGCTGGAAATCAGTAAGCTAGTGCTTTCTGGCAGGGGTGAGTTGTTCCCCTCAGAGGACTTGGCTGCACTTGTCCTTCTAAGAGCAGTTGAGTAAATGTCTGAGCCCAGAGCACTGAAACTCTTTACTGCCTTTTACCAAGGAAGCCCCTTCCCACTGCCTGGGGCATCATGGTGGGATCTGATCAAGGCAAGCAGGAAGAATGGTCCAGGTTGGTTCCCATCACAAGACCTGCCACTTCTCCCTGCTTTAGACATCGGCTGAGATCACAGGATGCAGCTGACTTCCTCCTGGAGCCCCCACATCCACCCTTCCTAGTGCCAACCCCTCACAGACATTACTGTTCCTCCATAGATGCCCGCTGTCTGGTATCCTAGCATGGCTCATGAGCTTTGCCCTGGGCAATAGAGAATGATCTGTGATGGTTGGAGAACCCTGGGACAGAGGCCTGGTCACTTAATGCAGCTGGTTCCTTAATGCAGCTGCTCACCAAATCTGCATGCATGCGCATGCCCGCACGCACACACACACACCACCTCTCTCTCTCCCCCCTGTCTCTCTCCCCCACCCTAGACTCTCCCTGTATGGGGTCTGTCCTCTGGGCTCCTGCCAGATAGTCCACCTTCATATGCTCAAAGTCCTTACCACTCATTCTAAGAACATACCAGAAGTAAAAATTTGATTTTTTTTTTTTTTTTTTTTTTTTTTTTTTACTAAATGTCCTAGGAATCTTCCTAGATTTTTTTTTTTAAATCATCTGGAGGAGGTGCCAAAGTCTGTCTAATCATCAAGGCTCCAGAGGTGTTTAAGTGCCCTCTGTGGTCAATGGCCTTGGTCTTGGGGGAAGAGAGCTAAGCTGTGGGAGATTCTCTTTTAGTTCCTTCCTACACTTCTCCTTTCAGTCCAAGGCTAAATGACCTCTGTCCTCAATGCCTAGAATAGAACCTGGCCCACAGTAGATATTTGTTGAATGAATGCTATTTCAGGTGGAATTTACCAGCTAATAGATTAATGTTTCCAAAACTTCTACTTACACCTGGAACATCATTGTTACAGAAACATAACAATGGTGGTGACAGCGGCGGGGGGGAGGGTCCTTAAGCAAAGCTAAATTGCGTAATATCGTGAACCAACTGGGAATGGTTATTTATATGAATAACGATAAAAAGATTCATCTCAGGGTTCTTCTGAGTATTTCAGTGCCACTTCATTCACAGTTCTGTTGATGCCTCTTTTGAATTGGCCTCCACAGCGTAACGCAGCAAAAACTGTGACAATTGTGCTATCTTATTTCACGGTATGTGAGTGGCCAGCCCGCAGTGACCAACCCCTGTCCCCTGCAGGTCTACCATCTTGCAGCAGCAGTTCAATCGGACTGGGAAGGCGGAGCACGGCTCCGTGGCACTGCCCGCCGTGATGCGCTCAGGCTCCAGCGGGCCCGAGACCTTCAACGTGGGCAGCATGCCCTCACCACAGCAGCAGGTCATGGTTGGGCAGATGCACCGAGGGCACATGCCCCCGCTGGTGAGGCTTCCCCCACGCTGGCCTTGGGCGTCGGTACGCTGCCTCTGATGTGCAGGGAGAGACACCAGCCCTGGGGAGAGCTTGTGTGCGTCATCACGCTCTCACCCGTTCCCATCCGAGCCGTGGGCTCTTCAGCTGCGTGGTCCCAGTGCCTGGCTCCCCGGTGCTCTCTTTAAATGGGGTGTCTTAGTAACTCCCTGTGCAGGATCACAGGTATCCTCGGGGGCCGGAGAGCGACTGTGACCTCTCCACGTGACTGGTGATACAGAGTATAGAGCCCGGCTTCCTTGCCTTAATAGCATCAAGCTGCTAATTAGCCCAGGATACCCCTTGGCGGGTCTTAGAAATAGACCCTGTCTGTAGTGGTTCACGCTTTCCCCTGAGCGGATCATTTCTTCTTCCCACTGCTCGTCTGCCTGCACAGGAATCATGTGCTGCTTGGGAAGAACTTTATAAAAGCTGAAAAACCTCAAAGCTCGGAAGTAATTTGACTCTGAAGAAGCATGTTGACCGTAGGTTTGGGTGGAATCCTTTCTTACTTACTAAGCACAGTTCTGGGGTGTAATACATTTCCTATGCGTGAGATCTTTTGTTCTCAGTACTGAAAGAGTGAAGTAGCCCCCTGCAAGGACTTTCTGAGTCTTCTTGTCAGCTAATTAAGCTCTCCACACTCTCCTGATCATAACCTCTCTATTGCATACATGCATATTGAGCATTCTATTAATAACAATCTCTACTCCCAGCCCCGTGCTTGAAATGGGAGGTGCTTGGGGTTGTTGAGACACACCGTGGGCCACTCTGTTTTGAGCCCGGAGTTTCGTGTAGAGGGTCGTGTCAGCCCCAGGAGAGAGGTTATGACCGCCTTGTGGTCATCTGCCTTTGCAGACCTCGGCCCAGCAGGCCCTCATGGGGACCATCAACACAAGCATGCACGCTGTCCAGCAGGCCCAGGACGACCTCAGCGAGCTGGATTCACTGCCACCCCTCGGCCAGGATATGGTAAATATTGTTCATGGTTGTCACTCAGCTTGTCTGCCTGGCACAAAGCAGGGCTTTGCATTCTGTCTGCATTCAGCTGAGTGAATCTTTGTCCAGCCAGGTGAAGTGGAAACTCATGGGGTTTTTTTTACCCCCAATATACTGAGTCTTTGTAGGAGGGGGTGCCCACAGGAAGAGAATCATGGGGTGCTGCTGGGTATTGGCAATACCTCTCAAGGGCCAAGAACTTGGACTCTGGAGTCACATGATCTGGGTTCCAAGCTAATGTCTGTGTGAATCCAGGCAACTTACTGTCTCTAAGCTTCCTTTGTCATGCATGCACGGGGTCCTTAGGAAGACATGGTAATCCAGTTGTGTGCAGAGTTCTTAGCACACTACCTAACACATAGTGAGAGCTCAACAAGTATTAGCTGTTATTATCAGTGCTTCTCAAATGTTAGCATGCATCAGTCGCCTGGAAGGCTTGTTAAAACAGATTGCTGGGCTCCATCCCCTTTTTTCTAACTCAGCAGGTCTGGGGTAGGGCCTGAGATTTTGCATTTGCAACAAGGCCTCGGGTGCTCTGCTGCTATCTCGGGACCATGCTTTGAGAACCACTGCATTACTGTTCAGCTCTTCAGCAGGGCGGGGTAATTTGCCTTTCTGTAGCTGCTACAGAAATTATGGAATTATCTAGCCCCTTCCTGCTCAGACTGTGGCCCATGGGCCAGCAGCATTGGCAATGTATAAGATCTCTTGAGAGGTGTAGAATTTTAGGCCGTACCCCAACCTTCTGAATCAGAATCTATTTGGTGTGCACGTTAAAGTTGGTGAAGCACTGGCTGGCACTGTCGTTCTCAGCCCTGCTTTGCACGTGAGAATTACCTGTGGAGCTTAAAGAACCAAGCCTGAGGCCCAGCTCAGGCCAAATAAATCCCTGTCATTGAGGGTGGGGCCTGCTTGTTTCATCTCCCCAGATGGTTCTAGTGGGCAATCAGGATTGAAAACCACTCCATTAGGATTGACAGGGCCATCCCAGGCCAGGGCCAAGATGTAATGTGTAGCCTCATCTTGCCCCACCAGGATAACTGTCCTCCAAGGCCTCCCTGAATGCTCTGATTTTCATTGGCGTGCTTGTCCACCTGCAGCTGCTGTTATACTCAGTGCTTTGTATCCCAAGTACCTGAAATCATTAAACATTCTTCATGGGGGAGCTTCAGAGTGAAAATACATAAGGCAGACACCCTCCCATAGCCAGCACTACCATGAGATGGTTTTAACATATTTGTATTTAACAGCCCTGCTTCACCAATTTTTAAAGTTTTGGTATACAAAAAATATTATTAGTGCTAGACACATCCTAAATCTCAATGAATATTTTTGGGATGTTTTGGGAAGCAAATCAGCATTGTCTATTACCACAGGGTCATCATTATGAATGTCAGTGACCACTTATTGGCTAAGTCCAGAAATGCCAGGGAATGGAGAATTTGCTATTTATGGGTTCCAGTGACCATAAAGTATAATATCTCGAAAGGTTTTTAAAGACCATTGAATTCCTACAGTAGAAGAAATGTAAGGCACAGGACCTAGATGTAATCTGCTCGAGGTCATGTTACTTGTCAGTGGTAGAGCTGGATCTAGAACAGAGGTCTTGACCCATTCCCCCCAGTCCTTCCCAGAAAGGTGCCACATCTACACCACATTCATGTTAACAGAAGACAGTCTTTATGCCGACAGAGAACACTCGTGAGCTGCAATACCCTAATTCTAACCTCTCCAAAAAACAAGGTGGAAATTAGCAACAGTTGTTGGTGCTGGTGTGCAGTATTATTGAGACATTAATTCTCATTTTTTATTAAATTTACCTAAATGAAGCCATGTAGAATTTTTCTTAAGATCCTAAAAGCTCAAGAAAAAACTGTGGAGGAAGCATGGAGGACTTACATGCCATTTAGCACCAGTGAATGAGCCAGGGGCCTGTTAATGACTTTACTTAAGATGACTTGAGGGCCTCGTTGGTGCTGGCCCAGGAACAAGAGTACAGACAAAATGCTGGTCTCATTTTATGGCACGATGTCTCTGGTGTCCCAGGCCGTCCCATGCACTGACTGTGTTGTGCCCTTGTCTGGTTTTGCAGGCGTCACGGGTGTGGGTTCAGAATAAAGTCGACGAGTCCAAACACGAAATCCACTCTCAGGTCGATGCGATCACAGCTGGAACAGCTTCAGTAGTTAACCTCACTGCTGGTGAGTCTCTGAGGTCCTTGTGCTCTGTTGCGGTTTTGCTTTAGAAACGATTCCTATTCTTTGATTGAAACAACAGATTTTCATGGGATGAGAGGCTAGTCTATTTTTAGGCGCTCTGAGTGCTCCAGGCACTTTTTCACACTGACCCAGGAGAATAGTGGGGAACATCTCATTCCTTTCCGTCGATATCATGCATCCTTCAGCAAGCCCTGACGTAGCTCTGCTCATTGTTCACCGGTCTGCTGGACAAACTTCGAAGTGTATGGGAGCTGGTTTCTCCCTTCTGGGAGCTTATAGTCTCAGATGGGTTTTGGAGGAATAGATCCATCACGCGGGCCCCTGTCCGTCTTGTCCCACAGTCCTCTCATGGCCCAGCAGGACGCCCACCTTGCGCTGTCAGGTGAGAGTCCGCAAATGTCTCGGCTTCTCTCTGCAGCATTTCAGTGCTTCAGCTGCTGACAGGGGCCTAACAGAAAGGGCCATGGGATGCCAAGACTTCCTTTGGAACTGTACAGGGGTTCATGCTCAGTAGTTCAGCGTAGGAGGCCTCGGGGCAAAAGGACTCGGGAGGAGCAGCACCTTGGAGACAGGGAGCCCGGTGTCACCCTGTGTGCATGTAGCTTTGTGTCCCACTCCTGCAGAGTGATGGCTGATGCCATCACCCATCTGGGCTCTCCTCACCCTTCACCACCCTCCTGTGACGGTGACGGCCCTTCTCTATCCCAGGTGACCCTGCAGACACCGACTACACAGCAGTGGGATGTGCAATCACCACCATTTCTTCCAACCTGACGGAGATGTCCAAGGGTGTGAAGCTCTTGGCGGCTCTGATGGACGACGAGGTGGGCAGTGGGGAGGACTTGCTCAGAGCTGCGAGGACCCTCGCGGGGGCAGTGTCAGACTTGCTGAAAGCTGTGCAGCCTACTTCTGGAGAGGTGAGCTCTTGGGGCACGCGGTCACTCAGGTTCTGGTGAGGCAGGTGCAGCCTTGAGTACTACAGGGCTCCTGCTCTGAAGCTGTTCCTTCCATCCTGATGGGGCATGTTACCATACCGTGGGGTTTGGAGTTGGTGAACTGGGTACAGAATCTATGGTTCAACTTTTGGGACTGGTTGTGCTGTTAGTAGGAAACCTCCCTGTCCCCTCACCCCAGGGTACTTGATTCGATTCAACCTCAGAAACACACACAGTCAATACACATTCGAAGGGGATGTAAGTTTGTGCCCTAATTTCCGTAAAGTGCGTATCACCTTCCTAGCAGCTAAGCAAGACTCATTGATTGAACATTTCAAATCGATCCACCTATGACTGGTTTATGAGACATCAGGCATTTCCTTGCACAGATTTTACCAGGGTATTTAAGTCTCCCATCTAGCGGATAGACTCTTATCTACATGCAGGAGGAGGCCAGTCCCTCAGGATTCCTTTTGCTGCCCTCCTGTCTGATGGCGCTGTGGAGGAAATGTATTTTCTTTCCAACCAACGTGTGTTTTTCTAGCCTCGACAGACAGTTTTGACTGCTGCTGGAAGCATTGGACAAGCCAGTGGGGATCTTCTGAGGCAGATCGGAGAGAATGAGACTGATGAGCGATTCCAAGTAAGATATTTGCCACCCCTAATTTTGGAAAGGAGTCTAAGTGATGGTCTAGACCCAAACAGGGAGAATGTATGAAAAACCAAGTCTTCATTGGGCTGTCAAGAATAAAATTGAGATGGATTTTCTTGGGGGTAGGGCATTTGTTAATTTTTTTTTAAATTTTCAATTAAAAAACTCACTTCCCTTCATATCATGCATCATTCTTGTAAAGCGCTTATTTAGCTATTCTCACTGGTCAATATGCTGGACATTCATTAAACACAGAAGCGGAGGGAATAATGCCATGAACTCCCTTGCGTCTACCATCCAGTGTCTATCCTTATCAACTCATGGGCAGTCTTGTTTTGTCTTTTGGGGGCAGTTTTTTTTTTTTTTAAAGATTTTATTTATTTAAAAAAAATTAAAAAAATAAAAATAAATAAATAAATAAAAGATTTTATTTATTTATTTGACAGAGAGATAGAGAGCACAAGTAGGCAGAGAGGCAGGCAGAGGGAGAGGGAGAAGCAGGCTCTCCGCTGAACAGGGAGCCCGATGCGGGGCTCGATCCCAGGACCCTGGGATCATGACCTGAGCCGAAGGCAGCCGTTTAACCGACTGAGCCACCCAGGCGTTGGGGGCAGTTTTTAACTGCATTATTCTGGAGTCCTCATAAAAGAGGAAACGTGTGCTCCCGTACACTGTGCTCACATATAACATAGGCTCTCCTTTGTACTCAGGTGGGTCTATTGTCTGTGTCATATCCAAAATCAGCGTGGTAGGGACTTTTTTTCTATCTGTCACCCTTCTTGTTCAGTACCAAGGATATGTGCTGTTTGTCCTCTGCTCACAGTTGTAGCCCCTGCTTTCAGCTGGTTTGATGTGCCACCAGCTCAAATAGGAGTTCAGCTTGTCTGCCTCCATTCCCAGCTGCCACAGATGAGGGGAGCTCCAGGCTACACTGAGCTTGTCTTCTCATATCCTTGTGGGCAGATGCCCTTCATGCCTTTCTCCTTCTCGTAAGACCCAATTTTTAGTAGTGTATAACTACATTCTAATTCAACTTACCATTCAAGGCCAGGTTCTCTGGAAGATGCCCTTTTCCAAATCCTATGTCAGGTTGACCAGTGGGGAATTCTGTAGCATTCAGAATAAAAAGATCATTCAACTTTACTGTAGAATTCAAGTTTCTTTCTTCATGAGTAGCAGTTTTGTATGCTGTTTTCTCTGGAACTACCAAACTCCATCTACACAAGATGCGTCAGTTACGCTACGACATGGTCGTACATGTTGTGATATACGGAACTTGCATCCATAGATGAGTTTGTTTCCCCTTTAATTTCCACACACCTGTGGTGCTGGGGCCAGAGGACTCCTTCATGTCCTGTAATGCAATAAGACTGTCAGTGCTTGAACGTTCGTGTCATGATGGAGGGTGAGCCCCATGATGGGGGGAGCGGGGTGGGGGTGGCGGTGGGTAGCAATATTCCTGGAACTATTTCTATGCTGGGATGGCCGGTAATAATTTCATTTCAAAGAGAATTGATGGCAACCACATAAACATATCCCACTAAATCCAAGCTAACCGTGACCCTATCCTGACTTGACCTGAGCCAGATCCCCAAACTGCCCTTGTATTGGCTATTGCTTTTTGTATTAGAGCAGGTAACTCTTTGTAGGCAGGCACCTGCTTAGGAATTGGGTAAATATGACATTCAGCTGTTGGTTTACTAGGCTTCATTAACATGGTCAACTGACTTTCCTCAAAAATATGACCCCTTTCCCCAGAGTGTTTCGAACGGTTGAGAAGAAAGTCACAGTTCTTCCTCAAGACACTACATGCACCTTGGCTTGCTGAAGATTTTTCTTTTCTTTCTCTCTTTGACAGGCCATTATCATCACATAAAAATGCAAACTCTGCTTCCTGTTGTTTGTATTCAGACATGCTAGGAAAGCAGGTTCAGGTTCACGGTAGGGTCCTGAAGAGGCTTCCGTATCAGGGAAAGGCCTGACTTGAATGCTTCCCATTTCTTTACGATCTCTGGGCAAAGTTCAGTCCGGTAAGGTGATCCTGCAACCTCCTCCAGTTATGAGTAGCCCCTGGCTTACTGACATTGGATTTCTTATGCACTATTTTTCTGATTCTTGAGATCTTATCTCAGAGCTTTTCCTGGGTTCTCAATGTACTGCATGTTCCCAGAGTTAACAAAGATTTATTTTACATGGGCTACATAATAGTGGTCTTGTTGAAAGGTTTGACAAAGGCCTTGTCAGCAACTGTGGCTGTAGTATCACGTTCTTTTGCTAACTGTATTGTTTTTGGACAAAATTAATAGGAGGAATAGGATTTCTTTAAATGAGTCTAACAAAGCCCTTTAGAACAATATGAGTCTACATGACCAAATCTTAGTCCCTCTATGAAAAGACAAATTCATATCAAGTGAAAGAATACTGTGACCCACTTTGGAAAGATATTTTTAAAAAATCTTATAAATAGGGGCGCCTGGGTGGCTCAGTTAAAGCATCTGACTTTCGGGGTGCCTGGGTGGCTCAGTTGGTTGAGCGACTGCCTTTGGCTTGGGTCATGATCCTGGAGTCCCGGGATCGAGTCCCGCATCGGGCTCCCTGCTCGGCAGGGAGTCTGCTTCTCCCTCTGACCCTCCCCCCTCTCATGTGCTCTCTGTCTCTCTCACTCTCTCTGTCTCAAATAAACAAATAAAATCTTTAAAAAAAAAAAAATCTTATAATTTGTGACATTTGAGTTGAGTGTTTGCTGAGCATCGAGATAGGTGTTCAAGAACTGTAACTTCAGGGGCGCCTGGGTGGCTCAGTCATTAAGCGTCTGCCTTCGGCTCGGGTCACGATCCCAGGGTCCTGGGATCCAGCCCCGCGTCGGGCTCCCTGTTCCGCGGGAAGCCTGCTTCTCCCTCTCCCGCTCCTCCTGCTTGTGTTCCCTCTGCCGCTGTGTCTCTCTCTGTCAAATAAATAAATAAATAAAATCTTAAAAAAAAAAAGAAAAAAAAGAACTGTAACTTCACAGGCCGTGTTGGGAGCAATTTCTAAAAGTTACGTGGCATACAAGTGCCAATCAGATCCTAAAGGCATCTTCAACTTTTGGAACCTCAGACTTTGCTTTTTCCTTGGACATCTAATAAACATCAGAGACCTAAAAGAAAGACTGGACTAAACTGTTCCTTTAAGACTGCTTGGTTTGTGTCCATTTTAAAATTGGTTTACGTGGTAGGTTTATGGGTTTCTGATTTGCCTGGATAGCGTAGAGTTTCTGCTCTGTGTAATACTGTGCAGGCTGAACACTCTCTCCAATATATCATCTCATAAAATGTCTTATTGTAAAGACTCTGTGGGTGCCCTTTGCATTCAGAATCAAAAGTGCTTTTCATTATCTGATGAATTAATAAAGACTTCTGACCACATTTCCTCTCGGAGAATGCCTTGACATGTTTGTTCAAAATAAAAATGGCTCGTATGTTTGGGGTGTGTTTGGGAAGGCATTTCCAAATCAAATAAACTACCTTCAATACTAAAAGCAAAGAAGCAAATTAAATGTTAACAGTGGTTATTCTTCAGGTCACACAGACGGGCGACAGACCTGGTGGGCTAAATCAAAGGATTCTCCATCCTGCAGACAGAATGCCTTTTTGTTGTGTCGAAGCATAAACTGATCTATAAAGGCTCAGAGCTCCTTGCATCTTCAGTGAGGTCGTAGCTCGTAGCTAGTTTATTTATGTAGGCTCCCTTTCCACTTCTCGTAATAATTTAATCCCTATCCAGAAGACTACAGAACACTGAAAATAACTTATTTTCAGAACACTCCTTGGCTCTTGAGCTATAGGTGTTGTCTGTGCGTGACCAACATTGCCCTCTGGAGGCAGAGATGTGGCCTGACTTTCTGATGGTACCTTGGAACTTTGTGCAAAATGGAAATCCAAATGATAAATTTTCAAGTGACAGTGAGACATGACGACTTGGAGGCCATGAATTCTATCCTTCCTACAGCATGTTGTATTTATGGCATCTGGATACATTTTCAGCTTTTCTTGAGCTACTGCTACTGCATCGACCACATATTCAAGAGACTTAATCTCAGTGTTAGAGAAGTACATGAATGTGAATCAGTGTTTAAAATAAAAACCCTCCCCTGAAATCACCCTATTTTAGATTTAAACCTTATGCTACTTCACATATAGGAAGACTATGTCATGAGGACACTAGTCTCTTCCTTTAATTACGTTTAAGGGTGAGTTGACATTTCAGAAAAATAAGTGGAAAGAACATTCTTACGAAGGACCGGAAAGAAAACGTTCAAATGGAATTTTAATAAAGTGTTTAAGTGGATACCACGTCTTATTTCTAGCTGTAAAGGGTGATAAAAAAATAAATGCCCATTTTTTTATTCCCCATCTTAGGATGTTTTAATGAGTTTGGCCAAAGCTGTGGCCAATGCTGCTGCCATGTTGGTATTAAAGGCGAAGAATGTTGCCCAAGTAGCTGAAGACACAGTCCTACAGAACAGGGTGATTGCTGCCGCCACCCAGTGTGCCCTCTCTACCTCCCAGCTTGTGGCGTGTGCCAAGGTAAGCCAGCTGGTACCGCAGGCCCTTTTCTCCAAGTGTCACATGCCCTAGTCTGCCTCCAGTCACTGGGGGAGACCAGAGGCAGAATTTGTTAAAATTGTCTATGATTTAGAGCTTGCATCAGGTGTTGTCTTTAAGATGACACTATAGGATTTTGACATTAACCACCCCATTGTGCTTTTATCGTTTTTTCCTTGCCCAAGCCCTCAGGCAGGGGTCCTTGTCTGTGTCTATTGGCCATTTCTGCTTGCAGATCGCCGTGTCTCCCCTTTGGACTTCTCAGTGTGTCTTATTTACACCTGCACACAGAGTTCTTGCGTTGTACAGAAATGTAGTAGAGCATCACGAATGGGTTCGTAGATAACCTGACTTAGGGAGCCCCTCCTGCACTGCACAGTGTTAGAGTGAGGGTAATCAGGATTAAGTTCATTGTTGCCCGTTATGATGTGCACACTCTGGGTGTCGGACTTTACCTTGTTGAGCACATCATCCCCAGTTTGCCAAAGAGAGAACTGAGGTCCCTAAATGTTTGTAAGTAGCCTGAGGCCATAGAAGTCCTCCGTGGCAGGACCAGGGTAAGCCCAGGCCTGTCGGATTTCACATACCCTTTCCTCACCGTGTGTTCATGCATCAGAAGATGGGAGGTGTCCGTTTCCTCAACTTGATGACATAACATCTTCTATCTATCTGTGACCAGCTTAGCCTAGCATTTCCTATCCTGTGGTGGGATTTGCAGTGTCAGAAGGAGGAGTCCTGATGGTATCGCTCCTGCTTTCCTTGTGCACCCTCCAAGTACCCACAGATAACTGACAGAATCCCCCTGTTCTTTAAAGTACCAAGAGGTACAGAGTTCCAGATGTCTCTGGAAAAGAAATACAATTCCCTTAGATAGTCTTGTTATCCTAGCTCAGGAGACTCAAGTTAGATGTTCCTAAAAGGAGGAGGCATGACATAAATACCAAAAATTTCTCTGTATGGAAGTAGTCAGTAGAATAGTTACGTATCACTGAAGAAGATAAAAATTAATGGGCATCAAAAGTCACAGAGATAGAGTGAAATCATCAAGTATGAGAAACTTCAGTGATGGTTTAGTGTAATCCCTGGTCCTCTAAGTAAGAAACCGAGGTGCAGAGCAGGAAGGAACATGGTGGAAATGCTAGGGCACAGTGGGGACCGAGAGTTGACCCTCAGTGCCCAAGACCCGCTCCTTTCTCACTTTAGGTGGTGAGCCCCACCATCAGCTCCCCCGTGTGCCAGGAGCAGCTGATTGAAGCGGGCAAGCTCGTGGACCGCTCAGTGGAGAACTGTGTCCGCGCCTGCCAGGCAGCCACCGACGACAGCGAGCTCCTGAAGCAGGTCAGCGCAGCGGCCAGCGTGGTCAGCCAGGCCCTGCATGATCTCCTGCAGCACGTGCGACAGTTTGCCAGCCGAGGCGAGCCCATCGGCCGCTACGACCAGGCCACCGACACCATCATGTGTGTCACCGAGAGCATCTTCAGCTCCATGGGCGATGCCGGTGAGGGGCGATGCCGGGGGTGGACGGGTCCTATTGGGGTTCCCTCGTGGTGACGATTGTGAGTAAGAAAGGTGACGGCTGCCTGGCAAGGGCGAGTTGTCATCAGCCTCTGTCAGAGACTTCCTCGCTGAGGCTGGGAGAAAGATGGAAGACTCCTAATGTGCCCATCCATGGCAACACTTAAAGAGTTCATTAACTAGGCTTTTTAAATAACTTCTCAGCAAATCCCATTTGTTAGAAGAAACATGTCGGATGTGGCAGGTAAAGTTGACGCAGACACAGGAAGTGCAGGAATGAAGCTTGGAAGGAAAACTGTATTCTACTCCCAGGTCCCAGAGAGAGGGTCACCACGTGCCGTGTGGGGTCCCAGGGGAAGCAGCGGGTTTGGTCAGTTTGCAGAAGAGAGGAGTGAGGGGGAGGCCTTAGGTTGTGGCCTTCATCGGGATTTCCATTGGAAAGGCAAGGCAGGGCAGGGTGAACAGCTCAGGACTGCTTAGTTTGACTATTTGCAGCAGGCTCTACACGATAGGGGTCATCATAGCCTCCTGGAATCAGGCCCTGGGATGAATGAGGCCTAAGGATATTGCGTCCAGGGCTGTGGTGGCCAGATAAAGGAGGTGTGGCTCTAAGCTGCTTGGTTTGTGTATCAAAGGCGTGCTCCTGGCTGGACTTGCGCTATCTCTAGAAGTTGGCTAGCCTTCAGAAGGGCAGTCTCTCTCGAGCCAGAAGGGTTTTTTTAAGATGTCAAACATCATAATATCCAGAAAATTTTTAAAAAGGTAAAATGTACCTTTCAGTCTATTAGTTGAAAAGTAAGTCTCCCCAGGCCCAGCCCAGCTCTATCCCATCTAAATCTCCAGATTTGGCAACTCACTGATTTCTGTTTTACATGATCTTCCTATAGTCTCACATGCTTGTGTATGTGTATGTATGTATTTTTAACACCGTCTTTCTTTTTATATAAATGGAAATGCATTATTTATACTCTTCTGCAACCTTTTTCTCTTAATATATCTTAAAGACATTTTTCGTGTTGAACTATATGCTAATCTTTTTAATGGCAGCATAATATTCTACTCCGTGGAATTCTATCATAATTTACTTAACCAGTTATCTTTAAATAGACATGTAGGTCATTTCCAAGTTTTTTGGTTTGCTTCTTAGTTTGTTTTGCTTTAACAAAAATAACACTATAGCAACTCTTTTTATAAAAATATCTTGGTTTACTTTTAGGGCTATATGTAATAAGTGGAATTTCTGAAAGGCTCTATGGTTTGCAACCCTACCAGTAGTTTGTAAGAGGTTTGTTTTCTTACTTCCTTGTCAGCACAGAGCCATTCTTTGTAACAAGTATTGAAAAGAAACAAATAAAAACGTGTGCTTTTCTGTATCCTCCTTACATGATTTAGGAAGATCAGCGTACTCTGCACATTTGGACTTTTTGTTGTTGTTTTGTTTGTTTTTTAATAAACCGTTTATTTTGGAATACTTTCATATTTAGAGAAAAGTTGCAGAGATAATACAGAGAGTTCTTATATATCTTTCCCATTTTCCCTCATTTTTTGCATCTTCCATAACCCATAGCACATTTGTCAGAACTAGATTAACCTTGATGCAGAACTATTCACTACTGACATGATTCAGATTTCACCAGATTTTCCACTCCAGTCTTTTTACCATCCCAGGATCCAATCCACGATACCTTGAATTTAGCACATTTTGATTTTTATGAAAGCTTTTTTTTCCCCCTTAATATCACAGTGTTTTGGCATCCTCAAATGACCTTTGGGGGAGGAAAAATTCCCTTACATTTGAGTAGTTTTATTTTAAATGTTTACTCTTATACCCCTCTTACTTCTAAAAGAAAATTGAAATAGATATCAGTAAAATCACAGGAACAGTAAAACCAAACAATTACTACTAATAAGATCAAAACCAGCACTAGGAAGAAAAGGGTGAGCAAACAGAAAACTGATAGGAAAAACTGAGCCAAGGCAAATGTTAGCAATTGAGCGTGAAACTGGGGTCTGTGCTTCCTATTGGTGAGAGCCAAATGACACAAATACAGTGGATCATGTGATATTATTCATCTGGAGTTAGGTAACATGCAAATTCTTTCAAATTTCAAAAGTAATTTTTTATGCCATTATGCAGAGTTTATTATAAGGACTTTGTGTAAGTGGTTCCTGAAGTGAGGTAACTAATATTTTCTAAATAACTATTTTACTAAATCGCATAATAAATCCACAGAACTTTGTTCCCTGCCTTCTCTTTCAAAAGAATTCCTCTTTGCTTCGTGGTGTCCTATTTATCCCTCAGAGTTCAAGATGGAAGTTGGGTGTGTTTGGGGTGTACAGTCCTGGTAGCCATGGGGAGTATTTTCGGTCCTGGGTCTAAGTGGGCTGCATTGCTTAGGACTAGAGCTTGGGGGCTCCCTTCTCTCGGTCCGTCTTACCAGAGGTGTGTAGACTAGACTGTGCTGGTTTTGAGCTTTAGAAAGCAGACGGACAGATGGCATTCTCAATTCCGTCCCATAGGTGAAATGGTGCGCCAGGCCCGGGTCCTGGCCCAGGCCACCTCAGACCTCGTCAACGCCATGAGGTCGGATGCAGAAGCTGAAATCGACATGGAGAACTCGAAGAAGCTCCTGGCAGCTGCGAAACTCCTGGCCGACTCCACAGCTCGCATGGTGGAAGCTGCCAAGGTATTGCATTGTATTTGTTCAATGGGAAAGGGCACATTATTAAGAGTTAGGATTTGGAAGGTACCCTGAAGATAAAGAATGGTCAGCTGAGCGTGCATTTTTGTTGTTGAAGACCTCTATGGTTGTGTAACATTTAACCTTGTTGCGTTGGGAAAGGAGAAGGGCATGGAACATGAGAATAACACTCTTTAAAGGGAGTGATGCTGACTCAGCTGTAGATGACGAAGTCCCTGCTCAGTGAGCACACTCTCTGTCCATGGGGTTATCGCCATCAGCTTATTGCAAATGGTGATTCATTTGAACTGGAGATTGTCAACAGCAGAGTCAAATAGGCCTCTTCTTTTGCCTGCAACCTGAATATTACTTTGTCCTCCATTCGACTTCTCAACTAAACTCCTATCACAATTTTACATAGTAGAGTGCTGCCTCACTGTTCTTCAAATCCCAGTAGCAGTTTTCACTACTCTACAACAGCTGGAGTGAAGAGTTAAGAGTCAGCTCTCTGCTTCTTTGACAGCTATGCTTCAGCATGCGGCTTCTAAAAGCCAGTGATTCTTGTCTCAGGGCCCTGTTTCAGAGCCCCCCATAAAACATCAAAGGGCGCGTGTCTCAGTTCCGCTCCCAGAGACCCTGATTCACAAGGTCACTGGTGGGACTGTGTGTGTACGTGCACGTCAGTTCTGCAGAAGATTCTGATTCCCACCTCGAGGTGAGAACTGTATTAAAAAGAGAAAGGTATATTTCTCTGTGTTCCTCTTTTTGTTATTATGCAACTAGCATACGTTTTTGGTGGAATTAATAGAAAATGCTGATGAATATAAATAAAATAAAATCACCTTCCACTTCATATGCCTAAGTTAACATGTATTTGTTAATGTATTTCTGTGCATTTAAGATTCATTAAAAGCCCCCACATCCTGGCCTCCAACAGAATACGAGTTCACCTCAAACTACCTAGCATGTGAATTCTTTCACTTAAAATGTGTTATGACATGTGGCGAATCACATAGACCTTCCTCGACTGACTCACCATTGTAGTCCCTGAGGGACTGTGATTTCTTGGAGGTACCTCGTGAATAGGCTGAAGAGAAACCCAAGGAGAGGCAGGGTCTGAACTTCCTTCCTCTGTCCCCCGAGCCCTGTTTCAGCCGAGAAGCTCTGCCCTTAACCATCCCTTTTAGTCAAAAATATGTATTAGGCTTTTTGGTGCAGTGCTTAATTTCTTTATGGTTTTTACGAGTTCTGCCCCCCCACTTCTAAGTCTAAGCATAACTATTTTAAGGAAACCTTCCTGTTCACAAAAAATTAATTGGCAGACTGGAAAGAACCTGAGTGTAAAATCTAATCAATCCCTATTTAACAAATAGGAGAATTAAAACGATTAAGCCTACCATCACATAATCAAGATTGAGCCAGGACCATTGTGTATATTTGTTTCTAGATGTGTAGTGCTCACCAGACCTTACCGAATGTACCATGTTACCAGAAACTTGTTTAAGTATTTATTTCTGATTATTTCTATTAGATGGGACAATGGTGTTTCCATACATTCTTTTAGTTAAAAGTTGTCACTTGGTCTTCATGACAGTATTTTAATTTGCAGAATTTTGTTGAAAGCTAAAGAGTCTATGATGGTTAGAGCTCCAAAAAATATATTTAATGTGCAGGAAAAAAATACATTTCATAATCAGTAACTAAGATTCCGGGCCAAGATTAGTACTGCATATCTAATGTACATTCATCATGAAAGAGATGTTGCTAAGGAAGGATCCAGATGCCCACTTCAGAGTCAAGTGCAGAAATGATGGTTTTCTGCTGCCCAGAATACCAAAGGAAGGCAAGTGTAGGAGTGGTTTAAATACCTGATGACCAAGAAAATAAAATAAAATGATTTTCCTAAATTTGCAAAAGTAGCCCAGACAACCTTTCACACATGAAATACAAAAGCAGAATTTGTTTAGTTGCTAGAAATACAAAATCAAGACTACTTAAAGTGTTTACAGTTTGAAAGAATGGAAGATTCCCTTCAAAAGCATTGCCAAAACACTTTCATCACAGACGTTGAAACTGTTCCAGCCAGGATGACTTCCTATAACTTTTATAAATAGTTCAAAGAAATAGGTTCTTGTAAATGGTCAATTTGGCAAGTTGGCCGTTTGGAAAATGGAGACATTGGAAAATCGATTTTCGATAATCGGCGTGTGTGTTTCTGCTTTTGTCTCTGCCTTGGAAGTAAATATTATCACCCTGAAGTGTTCATGAAAAGAAACTCATTCATCTGTACACATTAAGAACTGGTCTCAGAACATCCAGACTCGGTGAGAAAATGCTCAATCGCCGCTTCTGTTGCAGGTGGGAGTTGAAGGCTGGATGTGCTTTAAGTCTTTGTTAATTATTGTGCAGTAAAATTATATCACATTACCATTAGCCTTTTCCCTACTTCAGAATTCCACCCATCTCAATAAAACCCATCTGCATACCTAAGACACTTGAACCTTCAGCAACAGTGTGGCCATGGGCCGTGCATGGCCCTTTCTCTTTCCCTGCCCAAGGGAAGGGGCATGGGATAGCTCTCATTATTTCAGTGCAGTGGAGTCCCAGCTCTGCTTTGCTATACTCTCCAACTCAGGTTTTCCAGGAATGCAGTTTCTAGGCATGGTCTTTCTTAAACAACATTTCCTTATTTGGGTGGTCTTCCCAGCCCCTGTTTATCCTATGTTCTTAGCCCATCCACATTAACTAGTGCTGCAAGACAGGAGAATCTTTCAGCAGTGACGTGTGTCTGTCACTCCAATTAAAATCAAATTCTCCCTGAGAGATCTGGGGTGGGGGGAGGGAGATTTGTCTTAACATCTTTGAAACCGTGGATATCTGACCACAAGTTAATTTACATGGATGACCAAGGCTAGGATCGCAAGGGTTTAATTACCACCAGTGGACTTCTCTTGTTTACGGCTGCAGCTTTGAAACATCCCCGGGTAGATTTTTTATGTTGTTATGAGACGAAACATATTTATTGTAAAGATACTGCTTGAAGCATTTGCTCTGTCTTCCAGATATTTTGTATTACCAGGACAAAGTAAAACTGAAGGCACGAGTTCAGCATCTGTGGCATGCTGCCCCATGGACCTCTCAAAATCTCTCTTTTTTCCTTCTCAGGGGGCTGCAGCCAATCCTGAGAATGAAGACCAGCAGCAGAGACTGAGAGAAGCTGCGGAAGGCCTCCGGGTGGCAACAAACGCCGCCGCCCAGAACGCCATCAAGAAAAAAATTGTCAACCGATTGGAGGTGGGTAAAGAGGCTGGTTTCCTAGGATGTCTGTTTTAGATTGCGAAGAGTTTATCTCAAAGAGCGACCAAATGAATAAGGCAATGCCCATATAAAGGAAGCTAAATCAAGATTAACGATATGGTCGAATGGTTAAGGTACTCATAAACAATTTGAAATGTTGCTTTAGGTACTTTGTACATTCAGGTTCAGTGGCACATTGACACTTTGAAAAATAGCTTCAGCTCATGGTTTCAGTGAGCAAAGTCTTTTCTGATTTTAGCGTTCTTGAATAGAATTCCATTTTTTTTTTTCAGGAGGAAATAGGGATTTTTTTTTTCCCCTGGCATTAAGGGATGCCCATGTTCAGAAAGGATCTTTAGCTGAAAATATATAAATTTTTGTCAGAGGCAGTGACTCTTTCAGGACTCCCAACAGAAAACACAAACTTAGAAAGACTGGAGAATGGGGATCAGGCCTTGGTGGAGGGGTATGGGATGGAGTAATAAGAAAATATTTTTGTCATTTTTCAGAACATGTGTTTATTCTCAGGGGAAGAAAAGGAAATAGCAGTAGGCACAAACTCTGTAAGAAAATAAATTTCTCTCACGAAGGTACACAGGAGACTCTTACACTAAAATTTGGGAGGTTGGAGGCCGAGAACCTGCCTGTCTGATGAATCCCTCCATGTAGTCTGCTGGATTCTGGAACAAAACTGGCCTCCTTGTTCTTGGAAGGATGTGAGAGACATAATTACGTTCTCTGGTGGGGAAGCCTGGGCCTTTCTGAAGCAAGGCTTCCCGTGGGTGGCAAGAGGAGAGCCATGGGCACACCAGCGTTTGTGCCGCTTGTGGGGGGAAAAAAAAACCAATTCCCCTAAAACATTTAGACTTGATGCCACTTATCAGTGCCATCGTGGTCTTGGAATTGATTGTCCCTTATCTTTTTTGAGAGAGACAAATGAGCACTGGAACCTGAGCTTCCAAGCGTGCCTGTCTTTATCGCTCATCCCAGGGACTGCAAACGCCGCGGAGATAACGGGCCTTGTTAGACGAGGCTCCTCAGTGGCCTTCAGAAGGCAGGGCCTGGGCCTGGGGCGCCCTTTCTTACACGTGCGGCTCTTCCGTGGGAGGGGCGCATGCCAGTGTGCGTGTGTGTGAGGGCGCCCTCGAAGCCTGCCTCACCTCCTGTCGCTCTCCTCTTCAGGTGGCAGCCAAGCAGGCTGCAGCCGCCGCCACGCAGACCATCGCCGCCTCCCAGAACGCGGCCGTGTCCAACAAGAACCCCGCCGCCCAGCAGCAGCTGGTCCAGAGCTGCAAGGTGAGCTTCCGGCCGCCCGAGAGCCAGGGCTGCCGTAGATGATGCGCATGGCCTTAGAGGGCCAGGCGCCGCCATAATTCGGTTACGACCGATCACCCGGGCCCCTAATGTAGTTTGTTCAGGCTCCCGTGTTCCAGGTGTGTCCACACACACACGCACACACACGCACACACACACACGTCTGGTTTTTGTCTCATAAGTGGATGGCCTGTGTCTGAAGGGAGAGTATGGTGCTTTTTCCCGCATTGTCTTTCCTTTGTCTACTTTCTCTTCAAGAGACCAAATCAAGGAGGATCAATAACAAGGCCATTTTCGAGCTCTGAAATAGTAACGAAGTGTTCAATTTCCAGAGTGCCTTTCTCCCTCTGAGAAGTGGGCCTTGGTCTTTGGTGTGTGCTGGTGGTAGGAGGGTTGATTCCCTGCTCCGCACGGGTTGCAGGTTGATTTCATCCCGTCTGGCCTCAGTGACCGTGTGCTCTGGGGCTCTCTGTTGTTGCCTGTTTGTTCTTTTGAGACCCGGGCCTTGATGGCATGTGTCGGAGCCAGCATGCTCCAAAGGGCTCAGTGAACACCTCTGTTGCTGCTTCTGAAGGCCCAGGGAGTTCACTCTCCCAGGACACCCCTGAATGGTGCCAGACACAACATATAATTGCGTCACCATTGCCCACATGTTGGCAGCATGTGTGACTGGAGTCTCCCAAGGGTGTTTGCAGTGAGCAGTGGGGGCTGAGTGGAGAGCTGTATCTGTACCAAGGTTCTGAGAGTTGACTGCACTGTCCCGACTTTTTCACACCTCCTCTGTGACACGGTTCACATGGAAGTGGTGTTACCACTTCTACCTCGGAGATGGCTTTATTTCTGAAGAGAAGCCCCCAGAGCCCTTCAGGTCCTGATTCTGGGTTCTCTGAGGCCAGCCCCCCACTGAGGAGCAGAAAAGTCTCAGCGATGCAGTAAGGCCCTGTCCTCAAGACTGGATGCAGACTGAAGGGGTTTTTCTGCAAGCCAGGCTCCTGTAGAGCGTGTGTGTTGTCTGCTAGAGCCTCAAGTCAGCCGGCAGCACGGGTGAGAAAACTCTTCTCAAACTCAAAGAGCACTTGCTACTCGTGTCCAGGACAATCCTACAGGATGTACTACACCCCTCCCCCCTTTGCAGAGACTGAAGATACTCAGGGTCTGGGTGTCACTGTCAGGAGATGAGAGCTTTACTATGTATCAGGTTGCAGTGGAGAACAAAGTGGACCCGATTACTGGAGCAAGTCCTGAAGAGGATCTGAGGAAGATCTCATGGAAATTTTTTTTTTTTTTTTAACGCTTGCTGGAATGGGTTCCAAAAAAAATAGGTCAGCAGGGTGGGATACGGTTGGGACCTTCATCAGCAATGGGGGCCACTGTGCTGTGACCGTTGAGGACCTGGCCAGTCAGGTGAGGAGTGGCCACAGACGGGAGAACACAGAAAAGGGAGAAGGCGGGTCTCCTACGGCACAGAAATACTGCTCCTCCCTCCTCCACCCTGGGCATTGGGATTTCCAGTTTGAGAAATGAGGAGGAAGACCCGTAGTGACAGGAAGGTGACGGACAGAACGCTTACCTGCCAAGTGAGAAACCAAAGCACTGACATAGGCTGGAAGTTGAGTACTTCCCTTACTTTTTTCTCATCATTGGACTGTGAGACTTGAGTTTATCTGCTGACGAATTGTATAGATTCTTTGTTTGCTTTGAAGCTCTAAACTGTAATTGGCCAGGCTGGTATTCGTTGCAAGTGGGCCAATGCAGAAAACAGACCTCTTTACGGAGACTCGTACTGTGCTGAAATGTACAGGGACCTTCAGGAGCACAGAGTAGAGCGTGTGTGGGAGACAGCTACCCAGAGGTACTGTGTTAGGATTCAGTGTTTTTAGGGACCCAGCTGGCTTACAAGTGCTGGGTAAATGCAAGGTTTGGGACAAGCATGGCCCCGGTGGGATAGCACATCCCCAAAACATCCATCCCTGGGGTCCTTTCCCCCCCTGTTTTGGTCCTTCACCATGCTGGCTGTGCTCTGTTTTAATTTTCCTTGCTTCCTATAGGCGGTGGCCGATCACATCCCTCAGCTGGTCCAGGGGGTGAGAGGGAGCCAAGCCCAAGCAGAAGACCTTAGCGCCCAGCTGGCTCTCATCATCTCCAGCCAGAACTTCCTCCAGGTAAGAGAAGCAGTCACCTTGGTTGTGCCCAGAGCACCCCCCACCCGTGGGGTCAGGGATGCCCTTTATCCTTAAGGAGAAGAATTACCCAGTTCCACAGCCACAGCCAAGTCTTTGCAGTAAGCAGACCTTTGAAGGCCTTCCCATTATATTTCCACTTTCAGGAAAGGTGGATTTAGTTTGGCAGAGCAAAATGCTAATATATAGGGAAATTGTCCTGGGAGATGGCCCATAATCCATTTTTCTTGGGAATCTCATCTTTATTTCTCCTCTGTGAGGGAAAGCATGTGATAAGTTGCAAGTTTTGTCGAACAGCCTGGTACTAGGTAGTGCTCTAGGTTTGCCAGTTTCCAGAGAGTCTAATGTTGTTATTCACAGGCTGGGGAAAAAGAAGTGCTAAGTGCATCTTCTCCAAAGGTGTGATCTTTTTTTGTGGCAGTTGTACAATTAGTAAGTGGTGTCCATCTTTGCCAGCTAAGGGGTAGATTCATTTTAAGGAAAATAAAATGAGATCGTTAAGTGGTGGGAAAACTCCCTTTTTACATACTTCTTGTATTCGAATCCCTCTGCACTTCCTGTATCTCCTGAACAGTTCATGAGATCAAGTGAGCGTCTTCCTTGTCCTTTTCTAGTTGAACCTGTGGTTACCGGACTGACTGATACGTCTGTTGGGCTCTTTTTCCAAGCGCTGTAACTCCAGCGTGAGCCGAAGGCAGACGCTTTAACCGACTGAGCCACCCAGGCATCCCTGTATACATTTTTTTAAAATTGGGATTTATTGTGTGTAGACTCTGTTTTTCATGTGAACATTTGTATTATGAGCATTTCTGATTTTGAATAATCTATCGTTTGACCACAGCTATGCTCTGTTTGGGTATTCCCTCACCACCAGATGGACAGGTCGTTTTCAATTACTTGCCGTCATGAACAACCTGTGATAGGATAAAATTCTTCATGTATGCTCAAAAATTTGTATTCCTCTTGAATTATTAGGATATGGTCCTAGAAATAGGATTGCAAGTGGCTTATTTTTATCTTGGGGACATTGAGTGTTGTGGCTTGGACAGGTGTTTCTCTTTTCATGTGGTTGGTTCGAGGGCCTGGAGCTGGTTGTGTTATCCCCGCTGTGGGCAGGCTTCTAGGGTATTATGATAGAGCCATGTAGACATGTTTCAGGGTCCGCTCTGTCCCCACTCTTATTCTTCCCTTTTCTATCATTCTTTTAATGTTGGCAATCATAGACACATCAAATGGTTTCAAGAATAAGGCAGAATTAGAAATAAGTAGAAATGGAATTGACAGACCAAAGAGTTGGTAACGTTTTAAACTTCATTCATATGTGTTGTAAAATGGCCCTTCTGGAAGGCTGAATGAATCTAAATTTACATGTAGCAATGCATGGAGCACATTTTCTTATACATCTTTTCCAAGTTGGGGAGTCAAACATTTAAAAGTAGGTTGTTGACAGTTTCTCAGTGAGGTTCTTATTGTTTGATTTTGCGTTTCCTTGATTGTCACAATGTTCAGTGTGTTTCGTGTTTCAGTTTTTATTAAGCAAGGTTACCTACTCACATTTCAGGCTGGTTTTTTTTTAATGAATTCTCATGTGGTTATTTATTAAAAATATTAACTTCTGTCATTAAAGTTTATTTTCTGACACTTAAATTGTTTTAACTTTACTAGGAGCAGTTTTATAACATCTATAGTAAAACCCCTGAAAGTGTATATTTTTTGGTCCAGACATTGTACTTTTCAAGTTTTATACGAAGAAAATTATGAACGTGTGAAAAATTTTAGCTACAAAGCTATTTACCATACTATTATTACACTGGAAAAAAATGGAAACATGCCCAACAACACAGGGTTGAGAAATATTAACAGATGCATACAATGGAATACTATACAGCTATTAAAAACATAGAATATGCGAAACAGGGAGTTTGAAAAATAGAATAAATAGTATGATCTTATTTTTGGAAATATAGATGCATGCACACAGGCATCCATGCATGGTGAGATTATCTTGGGTAGTGAGATGTGATGTGACAGGTCATCTTCTTTCATTTTGTCTGCCCACATTTTTTAAAGCAGTCTCCTGGATGTATTTGAGACACGGATTCAAGAGCTGTTCTAAGGAACACAAACGTATTTAATAAACTCTCTTTGAAATCTGTTTTAAATGAGAATTTCAAGTCATCATAGTAATATTGCCCCCCTCGATGACACATACCTTTTTTTTTTCCTTTTCCTTAACATTTCTAGAGCCTACTGCCCTAGAGTATCTGCTCTGGGGTGGCGATTTTCAGGGGTAGTCTGGATGGTTTTGATATTCCTTGTTTTAGGACTGAGTAAGTTCTGGCTGGCTTGCAGCATTGCTGTCTGGGTATCTGCTGTCTGCCTTGTGCTGCTCAGGAGCCCTCTCGCTCTCTGCTCCTCTCTTTACAGCCTGGAAGCAAGATGGTGTCCTCTGCCAAAGCCGCAGTGCCCACCGTGAGTGACCAGGCTGCAGCTATGCAGCTGAGCCAGTGTGCCAAGAACCTTGCCACCAGCTTGGCGGAGCTGCGTACTGCCTCGCAGAAGGCAAGCGGATCCTTGTCACAGCACTTAGCCCACTGGGAACGGAGCTGCAGATGCCTTGCTGCTGGCCGTGACTGGGGGATTAGCCAGGACCGCAGCACTGCTGGGCATATTTCTGGGCAGAACTGTCTGTTCCATTTGCTTGGTCTTTAAAAGACGCCCATGTAGATTAGCTTTTACCATTTTTAGCCGCTGTCTCCTAGACTTCGTTTATCACCTTCCAGTTACACGTGACTTTTGTTAAACTATTTTAGGTTACATGCTTCCCCCTCCCATACCCCTGGACAAGCAATGGCCCATTTTTCACAATCTTAGGGGAGACAGGTAGTCATCAGTTTCTTGGTGCCAGGTAAATTGTAGGCCAAAATAAGTGATCGTATCTTCCAGGTATTATTTTGTGGATTTAATAAATTATCTAGGCAGCAAATTTATTGGGGGGAGGGGCCGTTTATATTATCTTTTTTGCCCTGAAAGCTTTTCCCATTTTACATGGGAGCATTCACCTTAACAGCGTCCTCAATAGAACGGAATTAAGGATTAATGAGTTTCTGTCTCTAGCACTTATTAATTACCAACGGACCTCATTACTGTACTGTTTGATAGGTTATTAGCATGAAGTTCTGGCATGAATTCATTTTTCCTCGTTGTAGCAAGCCCTTTATCGAAACAGGAGGCCTCATACGTGAGCAAGGGAAGAAGGTTAGAAGCTGATTTGAATTATTAATATGAACAGTGCACTATATCACCAAAGAAAAATATCCACAGCTTTAGGATAATACTCAATTTTTAAAAAAATACCTTGAGCTGTGTTTCTCAACGAGAGGTCCAAGGACCACCTGCACTGGAATCACGTGGGAGCATTCAGAATGCAGGTTCCTGGGCCTCACGCCTGAGCAACTGAGTAAGAGTCCCTGGTCATAGAGCCTGAACATCTGCATTTTACAAGTGTCATCAGTGAACCTTAGAGACATACACACCTCAACAGCTCTGGAGCTAGGAGCCTCAAAGTGGGACTCAAGCAAGACTGTCCACTGGGTGTAAGAAGATCCTGAGAGCTTTAAAATATATTGTTTTATAAGTAAGGGTTAAGAGTGTAGGCTCTGCAGTCAGACTACCTGCATTCAAATTCTGGCCTTGCCATGGACTAATTTTTTGTGACCTCAGCAAGTTAATTAACCTCTCTGTGCCTCAGTTTCTTCACTGTATACCACTAGCACATAGCAGTCAATCAGTTAGTATTTACTGCTGCTGTTGTCACTGTTACCTTAAAAAAAAGGAAAGAAATTAAGATGTACCAGTATTTAACATACTGATGAAAAATTTTACACGTATACTTTATTAACATGTGTATGGGGGGATGTGATCAAAGCATTTGGAGACCAGTATCTTAAGTGATCAAGAGAATGAAGTAGTTTTCTTAAAACAGTTGCTAAAGGAAAAAAAAAAAACTTTTGTAATTTTTAGTATGAAACGGTAATGGTTTATAGTCTAGAAATTTGTAGAGAATCAATAAGGTTGATAAAGACTTGTGCCCGTAGACCTAAGTCCATTCGTTCATTCCTTCTTCAGCCACCCACAGCGTGCTTCTCAGGCCTCTCTGTGCACATATACTGTACTCGGGGCTCTCTCTCTAGAACCCAGACACAGCAAAGAAGGATCCTCTTAGTCTGAGCGACAGATGCATTTCTGATAAAAATAGCTTCAAGGAGATTTTAAGTATATCTACTTATGAGACAAGCATAATTGATTATTTAGGGAAGTTAAGACTGACCAAGGTTGATTTTGCTCTATCAGGAATGCATACTCCACTGGCTTCCTGTTGCCAGGGTTGGAGAATCACTGGGTACATGCAGAAAGGCGTTTTGTACATTGCAGAGTACTGGGGACACTTTGCCCGGACAGTCTGTACACGTATTCCCAACTCTGTTGCCAGGCCCACGAAGCCTGTGGCCCTATGGAAATCGATTCAGCTCTGAGCACCGTGCAGACACTCAAGAATGAACTGCAGGATGCCAAGATGGCGGCTGTGGAGAGTCAGCTGAAACCGCTTCCGGGGGAGACGGTAAGGGATGTTAGAGCCTGCTGCGGGGTGGGACTCCACCTCGTGTGATGATCACGTGAGGCATTTTTAGAAGCTGGAGTTGGTGTGCCTGAATCACATATATTTTGAAGGCAAAGCCCTAGATTAGCCCCATTTTTAAGAACTGCGTTGAGATAAGGATGGCCTTGAAGGGGCATCTGGTCATGGTCCTGTGTCTTGGTTTCCTGGGGCTTCGCTAGGGATGAACAAGTGTCTGTCACTCTTTTTCATAAACAAGACACATCCTAGTGTTTGAGGCCAGTGTTCTGATCCCACAGCCTTTTTCTTTAAAGAATGTCCAGTGCAGCTGGAGGAGCTAGGTTTAAAAGTAGGAGTTCTAGCTTCTAGCTCTAGCTTGTATCCTCAGCTAGCTGTAGACAGTCTTGCATCTCCTCTGTGTCTCAGATATTTTATCTGTGAAAGGAATAGTAATGAGGTTATAAAGGTGGACACAGAAAATACTTTCAACAGACATGGTTTGAAAAAATATTGACTTAGCGCAAGACAACTAGGATGGACGACCGCAAAGCACTTTAATCCAGTACAAACACAAGAGCCGGGGGAATGGTGGTAACAGAGCTCTAATTTGACCGTGTTATGGTGCCTCCTGATGCTTATGTCAGGGCTTTCTTTTTTTTTTTTTTTTAATATTTATTTGTTAGAGACAGCGAGAGAGGGAACACAAGCAGGGGGAGTGGGAGAGGGAGAAGCAGGCTTCCTGCTGATCAGGGAACCTGATGCGGGGCTCGATCCCAGGACCCTGGGATCATGACCTGAGCCGAAGGCAGACGCCTAGCGACTGAGCCACCCAGGCGCCCCTATGTCAGGGTTTTCTTGGCCAAAATTCTACCAGTTCTTCTCATTTGTGTGTAGCTCCTTTTCCACATTCTTAAACATTGCTAATAAATACCACCATTTGGTAGGGTTTTTGTAAGCACTGTATGTGCACAAAATCAATCTAGTTTATCCTGATGGTAACCTTGGTGAGCGAGTTTTGTGAATCCCATTTTACAGCTGAGGAAACAGAAGTGCAGAGGTAGGTTGTCACTATTCTGTCCAGTGTCTACCAGCTGATAGTGGAAGCAGAGTTTGAATCCAGACCTACAGGACTCCAAAACCCATGCTCTTGATCCCTCACCTTGAGAGCTTCTACTCTTTTTTTTTTTTTTTAATTTTTTATTTATTTATTTATTCATGAAAGTCAGAGAGAGAGAGAGAGGCAGAGGCAGAGGGAGAAGCAGGCTCCCCGCCTAGCAGGGAGCCCGATGTGGGACTCGATCCCAGAACCTTGGGATCATGACCTAAGCCAAAGGCAGACGCTTAACCATCTGAGCCACCCAGGCGCCCCGAGAGCTTCTACTCTTAACTACTGCTGCTCTTTGGATGACCTGCAAACTTGTGGAATATACAGGGACTTCCAGAGCAGCTAACTTACCATGGTGCAATGGTAGATAGGAAGCCCTCAGAAAATACTTGTTAAATCATGCTACTGCTAATTGTAAAGACGAGGAAACTCAGGCTCAGAAAAGTTACATCACCTAACTAAGGTCACCCAGCTAATGATCAAGTCAGGACTGGCCGCAGGGCCAGCAGCTTTGTAATGTAGTCCACGTGTCCCTTTGCAAACTCCTGCACTCCAGGGAGCCCAAGAGAGGCTGACATGACATGAATTCTGCCTTTACAGAAACCTGCTGGTCGGTTAGAATGTAAGAAACCCCGTGTAATTTTTAAGGAAATTGTTTGCCCCAGAAGAATGTGTGTGCTGTGTTAGAACATATTGTTGGCTAGAACATATTGTTGGCTCTGGGTTCTTTTATGTTTGAAGGCACTGCCTATCTTGGGAAGCCGTGTTTTAGAGTTAAGAAATGCACACATTCTCTGACGCCTGTCTGTGCTCTCACAGTATGCCTCGAGGTTCTGTTCCAAAATGTTGTCCTCATCTAGTAATCAAATAATCATCCATACTCTGAGCCGTCAGTAACTTTGTTCTCTGAATTATTTATTCAGTTTACAAAGCAAGATGACGTGCTGTTCATGGGAAGCAAGCACTTTGCCCATTTTCATAATCTCATTTACCACGGCAAACCTCTCCTATTGCATTTCCTTCTGGTTAGAACTCCTTGAAGTATAAAGATCGAAATGAACAATGTTAATGGCCCCACATGCTAGGAAGGCCGGACCGCTGGATGTCTGCCCACTTCCTGCCAAGGCATAATTCATTCTCGCTAAGGATTTGTTGCAGACTTTCTAAATTAGCTTCGAAAGGCATGATGCTAATAGCTACCATTTGTTGAGTACCTACATTGATTCTGAGAACTTTCTAAGCTTAAGTATTAGCATCTCTCCAGGAAACCAAGTCATGGAGAGGTTCAGTAAACTGCCCAGTCTCTGAGAGCTAGCATGTGGGGGGAAAGAAGCAGAGGACAGGGGCCTGAACCCAGATTTTTTTATTCTGAAGCATGGGCTCTTTCCCTTCTATCACCCTACTTTTTGCACCACTGGTATTAGGTGGGAAAGAGCTAAGGACCACTATTTGATGCTCATTGTTTGTATGCTAAGACTATAGTGTATGTTGCTTTTCTTCTAAGCTGTCTTCCCCCTTGGATATTCTTATAGCTGGAAAAATGCGCTCAAGACCTAGGAAGTACATCCAAGGCAGTGGGCTCATCCATGGCACAGCTCCTAACCTGTGCTGCTCAAGGCAATGAGCACTACACAGGTGAGACTCAAACCCTTCGTGATGCCCTGTGGCCAGGTGCAGACCACTGGGGTGGGGGGGTCATTCCTATCTCCCCGTTCTGTTGTCAGCCAACGTCATTAGCCATTCTGCTGAGCATGTAGCAGTATCATATTATGGTTCTAATTTGTATTTCCCTAATGAGCAATGCAACTGAGGGTTTTTCCGTATATTGGCCATTTGGACATCTTGTGAAGTGCCTGCTCATGCCTCAGCTGGGGTTCATTGATTTGACCATGAACCTAACTTTGTTTTTCAACAGGAGTTTACAGATTTTTCAAACTCTTTCCCTGTGCTTGTTACTGGGCTTGATACTAAGCATACAAAGATGAATAAAATATGAAGACCCCAAATTATTGTGGATCACCCCTTCTAGACTATAAGAAACCGTAATTAGAGACTTTCGGGACTATCTCTGTATGACTGTTGGAATCTCACTAAATTAAAGGGATAAAAATAAAAAGGTCAAGGAGGAAAAGATGACAACAAATAAGATGCCAGTGAAATTTGCGAAGATAGAAGGAGACAGATGACCGGAAGCTGATAGAGCCAGTGAGAACAAAAACTGAAGTTCTCCAGGGACAGGGCAGCAGGCAAGAGACAAGCTGACTTGTGCTGCAAAACCCTGAGGGGGTTTGAGTATTGGAGACACAAGGTACCCGTAAGGGCAGGAGACACCTTTAAACAGGGCTATATAGAAACAGATTGTGTGATTATCAACTCTAGGAAAAACACCAGGTTATATAAGGAAATGTCTTCCTAATAGGAAGCAGACATAATAGGAAGACCCTAGCGACCTAAAATGGAAACATGGAGAAGTTTCATTGTAAGCCCATTACTCAGAAGTAGGAAATGTGTCTGAAGAAAGTTCAAAGAGCTGAGTGGCTCCAGGAAGGGAATGGGATGGGGAGGGGTGGTTATAGATTGTTGCTTTTGTTACACAGTGGTGCTGCTTGACTTCTTTAGAAAAATGTATACGTTGTTACTGAAGTGTAATAAACATCCAGAAGAGAGCTGTTAAGTCCTAAATGTGTGCCTCTGAGAGTTATTATAATTGCAGCCAAAAACCACCACCAAGATCAAGCGGTGGAACATTTTCCGCACCCACCACGTGCCTTGTGCTTCCTGCCAGTCATTGTATTTCCTCCTCCCCCGAGGTAAACACCCGTGACTTGTAACCTTGTAACGCACAAGTTGATTTGCCTATTTTTAACTATGAATGGAATCGTGCAAGGTGTGTCCATGTTTTCACGCTTCTTCTGGCAGTATGGTGTGAGATGCACGTGATTTCGGAAGCAGTTCTTTCCTTTCTGTTGCTTCCTGTAATATTTCATTATGTGAATATACCTGTTGGTGACTCTTTATACCATTGATAGGTAAAGGTATGAATAGTTCTCGTACAGGCTGCTTAGTGAACAGAAATAAGCATTTTCTAAATAGATACCTAGAAATGGAGCTGCTGTGTCCCAGGCTGTGCTCCACTTGTTCATGTTCCTGTCTCCATGTTCTTTTGTCAGCCAACATCATTAGCCATTCTGCTGAGCGTGTAGCAGTATCATATTATGGTTCTGATTTGTATTTCCCTGATGAGCAATGCAACTGAGGGTTTTTCCATATACTGGTCATTTGGACATCTTGTGAAGTGCCTGCTCATGCCTTTTGCTCTTTTTTTTTTACCTTTGTCTTAGTTGTAGGAATTCTTTTTCACTTATACGTATTTCCTTTATCTTGGGGCTTACCTTTCACTCTCAAAGCTGTTTCTTGATGAACAGATTTTTTAGAATTTTAATATAGTTCAATTTACAGTGCTTTTTTTCCTTTACGGTTACTAACTTTCTTGTCCTTTTTAAAAAATATGCCTCTCCAAAATCAAGATATTCTCTTCTATTATGGTCTAGAAGCTTTGTTTTACTTTCTATATTTAGAACTGTGATCCATCTTCAATTGAGTTTTGTATATGAGCAAAGAGGGTCCTTACTGTTTTTTTCTCTAGGATATCTATTTGACCCAGCGCCACTCACTGAAGCAATCATCATTTCCCCAGTGGTCTTCGGTGCCACTTAGTCCTTAAGTGAAAGCTATATGCAAATCAGCTTCTGATCTTCTACTTCTTTTCCAGTGACTTGATTGCCTGTCCCTACCTTAGTAGCACACTTCCCTAATTACTGAGTTTTATACTAAGTATTAATATCTACTTATGTAAGTCCTCTGACTTCATTATTTCTCAGGTAGTGCTGACTATTCTTAGTCCTTTGCATTTCCACATAAATTCTACAATCAGCCTGTCCGTTTCTACCCCCCAAAAAAAACCTGTTCATTTTTTCTTTTCTTAATTGGAGTTATACTGAATCAATTTGGGGATAAGTGACATTTTCACATTCTTGAGTCTTCTAATTTGCAAATAGGGCATGTCCCTCCACTTACTTAGATTTTCCTTTTAATACCGTTTTATAGTTTTGTGCCTATAGTTTCGTGCATTTGTTTTCATTGTAATGTGCTTGATATATTTTATCCCATTTTCAACTTTTCTGTATGCTTTTATTTAACTTGTATCTTGTGAGCATCATGCAGTTGTTTTGCAAAGGGAAGGGTTGTTGATGCAACATCTTTTTTCTTTTTTTTTTAATTTTTAAAAGATTTTATTTATTTGAGGGCGCCTGGGTGGCTCAGATGGTTAAGCGTCTGCCTTCGGCTCAGGTCATGATCCCAGGGTCCTGGGATCGAGTCCCGCATCGGGCTCCCTGCTCCTTTGGAGCCTGCTTCTCCCTCTGCCTCTCTCTCTCTCTCTCTGTCTCTCATGAATAAATAAATAAAATCTTTAAAAAAAAAAAAAAAAGAAAGATTTTATTTATTTGAGAGAGCATGAGAGCACAAGTGGGGGGAGGGGCAGAGGGAGATGCACATGCTCCACTGCTCAGGGAGCCCAGCATGGGGCTCAATCCTAGGATCTGGGAATCATGACCTGGGCCAAAGGCAGATGCTTAACCGACTGAGCCACCCAGGCACCCCATCAATCTCTTTTTTCAATTGGGGTATTTGTTCCATTTACCTGTAATGTAATTACTGAGATACTGGGGTTTGAATCTATCCTTTTACTCTTTGTTTTCTGAATGACTTACCTGTTCTGGCTTCCTTTCTCTGTCTCTTTTCTTCAGATTCATGTGTATCTGTTAAGTTCTCTTCCTTTCTCCTTGATTAGCTTGTTAGTTATATATTCACTGACTATTCTGGGATTTTTAAAAGTCTAATATAAACTAGTGGGTTCACCACTTCCTGGATGGTGCAAGAATCTTGGGACACTTGAACTCCCTTTACCTTTCTTCCAGCTCATTCTTTGTCGTCATTGTGCGTTATAATTATACAGATACTTTAATCCTCTCCATACAGTCTCCATATTGTTTCATACAGTCAGTCAGTATCCATTTAGATTCACCTCCACATTTACCCTTTCCATTGTTCTTTATTCCTTCCTCACTCTCCATGTGCTGCCACTGGGGATTATTTCCTTTCTGCCTGCAGAACTCTCTTCCTTTCCTTCAGTGTGACTTTACCAGTAACAAATTCTGTCCATTTTTGTTTGTCTAAAACTGCCTTTGGTTAGCCTTTATCTTTGGTAGATAATGTCATTTATAAAATTTTAAGCTGACATTTCTTTATTGCCAGAAGTTTGAAGATGTTATTCCATTGTCTTCTGGCTTCCTTTATTTCTGTTGTGAAGTCAGCTGTCAGTCTCCTTTTGAGAAAGTAATGTGGGGTTGTTGTTTTTTTAAATTTTCTTAAATTTTTAAATTTTTTTAATTTAAAATCAATTAGCCAATGTATAGTATATCATTAGTTTTTGATATAATGTTCAATGATTCATTAGTTGCATATAACACCCAGTGCTCATCACATCAGTGCCCTCCTTATTGCCCATCACCGAGTTACCCCATCCCCCCACCCACCTCCTTTTCTGCAACCCTCAGTTTGTTTCCTGGAATCAAGAGTCTCAATGTGGTTTTATTTTTCCCCTCTACTAGCTTTTTTAATTTTTCAGTCTTTTTTTCAAGCAATGTACCTAGAGAAGTTTTATTGGGTATTTATCCTGCTGTAGGTTTTAGTACTGCTTGAAAATGGGATTTGTTGTCCTAGGTCTGTTTTAGAAAATTCTCAAGCACTGTATTTTCAAACAGTGTTTCCGCCCCATTTTTTTTCTCTTCTTCTCTGTAGATTCCAGGTACCATATATTTTGGGCGTTTCCACTCTTTTATGTGTCTCTTAATCTTTCCTGTACTTACTGTGATTTTTCTTCTCCATGCTTTATTCTGCATATTCTCATTTGATCAGTCTGCAGCTCACTCTTCCTCTCTTTAGCTGTGTCTATTCTGCCTTTCAACCTCTTCCGAGTTTTTAATTTGAAATGTCCTATTTTTCAGTTTGAGAATAGCATTTGATAGTTTTTGTACACTTTCCTTTCTCTGCTGAAATTTTCTATCTTGCCATCTAATTTCTTAAACTTAGTTGTCACAAGTTCTTGAAAGACCTGGTTCAGTAATTCCGTTATTTGGATCATCTGTGGACCTGTGCTCCTGGTCTGTCATTTTTCTCCTCTTGGTTTTCAGCTGTTGGTCTTACCTCTTGGTGTTTCTGATATCTTTTAATTTAATGCTAGACATTGGTATTTTAAACTGAAGAGATAATGTGAGGCTCTAAATTGTGTTTCTTTCCCTATGGAGGATTATTCTTTGTTCCTGGTATGTAGTGAACATCTAGGCAGATCACCATAATATGAACAGGGACTGGGCTGATTGGAAATTGTGCAGTCTATTTCCAGTTTGTTTTTTAGGGCACAGGCCTTTGTGTATCCCATCAGAACATCTGTGATGTTTACCAGGGCCATTCTCTACCATGGGCTCAGAACTGTGCTTTTTAATCCTCCCAGCCCCATGAGATTGCAGGAAGTTTTGCTCAGCTTCTGGACAAGTTTATAAATGAAGGAATGC